AGCATCTTCCTGGTAACGGCACAAATACAATAAAAAACTGCGGTTGCCAACCCGCTCGCCAAGCGTGGCAACTATGGCAATATACCCCCCATGATGAAAGTGACGAAGAGACGGCCCCCAGTCCCCGGCGGCCCCGCTATTCCTGGCTACGGTGGCGACCATGGTAACGGCGGGGCAGGGGGTGCTAAGAATCTCCGGTGGAGGTTCGGTTGCCACCTACGACGACTCGACCTGGCAACATACAACGCACGCACCCTGAGGACTGACGAGAAGATTGTGGAGCTGGAAGAAGAGATAGACAAGTTGCGCTGGCATATTATAGGATTATCCGAAGTCCGAAGAGAGAGGGAGGACACGGTAATCCTCAAATCCGGCAACTTGCTCTATTACCGGGAGGGCGACCATCTGTCCCAAGGAGGTGTCGGATTTATCGTCCACAAGTCTCTCGTTAACAACGTTGTAAAGATTGAGAGTGTGTCGCCGAGGGTTGCGTACCGTATACTCAGAATCACCAAACGGTATTCGCTGAAGGTCATACAGGTTTACGCACCAACCTCGGCACACCCCGATCAGGAGGTGGAGGAAATGTATGAGGATATCTCCAGAGCCATGCATTCCTCCTAAACCCAATATACGGTGTTAATGGGAGACTTCAATGCAAAACTAGGCACAAGAGAGAACGGTGAGCTGAAAGTGGGGAAATTTGGAATAGGGCAACGGAACCCAAGGGGCCAGCAGCTGGCCGACTTCATGGAGAAAGAGGGACTCTTTATGATGAACTCTTTCTTCCAGAAGCGGCCCCACAGGAAGTGGACCTGGTCGAGCCCCGACGGTTCGACAAAAAATGAGATTGACTTCATTATGACGACCAAACGACAACTGTTCAGTGATGTCTCAGTGATCGCGAGGGTGAAAACCGGCAGCGATCACCGAATGGTTAGAGGCACACTGAACCTAAACGTTAAGTTGGAGAGGTCTCGTCTAATGAAGTCAACGCTCCGTCCCCCTCGTGCTCTAATCCAAAGTCCCGAAACCTTTCAGCTCGAGTTACAAAACCGTTTTCAGTGCCTAGAAGACTGCAATGAAGTGGACGATTTGAATGAAAAGCTCGTGGAAACTGTCCATGCGGTCGGAGCTAAGTTCTGCAAGACCCGCCGCAGAAGAACACAAAAACTCTCCGATCACACTCTTAATCTCATGGCTGTTAGACGGGAGATGAAGCTACATTCTTCAACCGATTTGACAGCATACAGGCAACTGAACAGACAGATCTCCAAATGCATGCGGCGGGACTTACGCAACTTCAATACAGCTCGTATTGAAGAAGCGATCGAGCGGAACCAAGGCTCCAAAGTCTTTGCCAGAGATCTATCTGCCAGAAAGAGCCAACTGTCAAAGCTGAAGACCGAATTTGGCAGCATCGTTTCCGGGGCACCTGAGATTTTGAGTGAGATTGAGAGGTTCTATGGGCAGCTGTACACGTCATCGTTGGAGCCGCACGCAAGTGTGAGTAACGATCCAAGAGCGAGTCTTATCCGACATTATTCCGATGATATCCCGGACGTCAGTCTGAGCGAGATTAGAATGGCTCTCCAGCACCTTAAAATGGCAAGGCCCCAGGCGAGGATGGAATTACAGCGGAGCTTCTGAAAGCGGGTGGAAAACCGGTACTTGAAGTCCTTCAGAAGCTCTTTAATTCCGTCCTCCATGGTGGCATTACACCGGAGGCGTGGAGCAGAAGTGCGGTGGTCTCGTTCTTCAAGAAAGGCGACAACGCTCTCTTGAAGAACTACAGACCGATTTCCCTTCTTAGCCGCGTCTACGTGCTGTTTTCGAGAGTCATTACGAATCGTCTCGCTTGCAGACTTGACGACTTCCAGCCTCCCGAACAAGCCGGTTTCCGAAAAGGCTTTAGCACCATAGACCATATACATACCCTTCGGCAAATTGTACAGAAGTCCGAGGAGTACAATTTGTCACTATGTCTGACGTATGTGGACTATGAGAAAGCCTTTGATTCCGTCGAAATTTGGGCGGTGCTGCAGTCCCTTCAGCGATGCCAAGTTGACTGTTTGTATATCAAAGTGTTGAAGTGCTTGTACAGTAGGGCTACGATGGCTATCCGAGTACAGAACCAGAGTACGAAACCTATCCAATTGCAGAGAGGTGTAAGACAGGGTGACGTCATATCCCTGAAACTCTTTACCGCTGCATTGGAAGATGTTTTCAAGCTTCTGGACTGGAAAGGATACGGTATCAACATCAATGGCGAGTACATCATTCACCTTCGATTTGCCGACGATATAGTCCTTATGGCAGAATCGTTGGAGGACCTAAGCACTATGCTCAATGACCTCAATAGTGTTTCCCAACGGATAGGCCTTAAGATGAACATGGACAAAACTAAGATCATGTTTAATGTCCATGTCACACCTATGCCGGTAGTTGTTGGGAACACTAAGCTCGAAGTTGTTGACGAGTATGTTTACCTAGGACAAATAGTCCGACTAGGTAAGTCCAACTTCGACCGAGAGGTCAATCGACGGATTCAACTCGGTTGGGCAGCGTTCGGGAAATTACGGCACATCTTCTCGTCAGGTATACCTCAAAACTTGAAAACGAGACTGTACACCCAGTGCGTGTTGCCAATGATGACATACGAAACTGAGACGTGGTCCTTCACTGCTGGCCGGATGAGGAAGCTCAAGGTCGCTCAGCGAGTTATGGAGAGGGCTATGTTCGGGGTTTCTCTGCGTGATAAACTCAGAAATGAGGATATCCGCAGTAGAACCAGAGTGATCGACATAGCCCAACGGATTAGTAAGCTGAAGTGGCAATGGGCCGGCCATATAGCTCGAAGAACCGACAACCGATGGGGAAGAAAGGTTCTCGAGTGGCAGCCTAGTACCGGCAGGCGAAGTGTAGGGCATCCCCCCACTAGATGGAGTGACGACCTGGTAAGATATGCAGGAAGTCGATGGATGCAGGTGGCTCAGGACCGTGCTTTGTGGCATTCTTTGGGGGAGGCCTATGTTCAGCAGTGGACTTGTGAAGGGCTGTAATGATGATGATGATAATGATGATATTTTTATAGAAGAGGGGGCAAATGAGAATGCGGCTCATCTGATTGTAAGTGACTACCGCCGCCCATGAACAACCGCAATACCACGGGAATTGCAGATGCTTTGCCGGCCTTTTAAAAAGGAGACGATAAAATACGCAAAGAGATGCAACATCTTTACGCAGTGCCAGTGTATCGAGCCGATCAGAAAGAAATCGGTCGTCGACGATTCGAACCGCTCTGCGCTGGATGCGGTCAAGTGGAAGGAGCTGGCACTGGGGTGCTCCAGCCCAGAGATGAGAACAGTATTCCATGTGAGGCCGGATTTGCACTTTGTATAGTTGCAAGCGATGTGCCGGCATGAAATACTGTCTCGCTCTGCTGAGCACGCCAAGGTTTTTAGAAGCCAGTTTAGCCTTCCTTTCATCTACTCAAGGAAACATATTTATATGTTGGATAGTTTTTAAAACCACGTCAGAAATGATTTTAATATATTAAATGTCCTATATAGTTAAATATTTATTCTTATTAAGCTTCCTTTTACTTTTGTATTTCTGAAAATAACCTACGTACCTTAATCATGGTCTTTGTTTATTTACTGCATCTCTACAGAATATAAACAAAAGCTAAATACATTAAATAGTCCTACTATTTAATGTAATTTAGCTTTTGTTTAAATTCTGTAAATGTGTTGTGTTTTTGTTTTTATTCTTATTACTATGTTATGCTTTATGAGTAAGGTTTTTTATTTATAATATGATTATATGGGTCCGAAATATATTGGAGATATCACAAGGGATGGCACTGAAAATTAGTGTAAAATGCTGAGTTTCTAACCTAACTAACTTCTTCGTGGTCGTAATTGTATTTTTTATTTATTATAGATTGTTTATATTTATTGATATATAGATTACTTATTATACATTATATTTTAGACAGTTTTAAATTTCGAGGTTCTAAAATTTTGTTTTTAATGTAAAATATTTTGAAATGAAAGTAAGTACATACTTCCATTTCGGATAGATACATTTCATGTTATTTACGTGTCATCGGAGATAATATGTAATACGTTTTGTCAAAACTAATATTTATATAAAGGAAACAATGTACAGCTAAATGATAAATGTACTATCATTATTTTCCTATAAGAACTAAGAATATATTATTTTCATTCGTTAAGAAGCAGTAGCTGATGTAAAGTTGAAAACAATCTAATTTTTTTATCGTTGAATTATAATGTTCCGCAAAATTTTAAAATGCTTGGATTGCAGTTTACATACAAATGCCTAAGTTATATTTTTTATGGAATTTTTATGGGCTCATTTAGGGGAACTAGGCCCATAAAACGATAATTTCACGACTATACGCATTTTAAATGATTTAACGTAAGGACGCCAACAAAGCGTTATCATTAATGACGTGCAAGGTACGAAGTTGTTATTATTTAAAAAAAAAATGCTGTAGCTGTAAAATAAAAATATGATTTAATAGCACACATACATAATATTATTTAATTTTAAATTTATTAACGTTGCAGAATTGAAAGTTCCAGCATTACATTACTGAATACGACATGGAAAGCAAAAAGCTTTTAACTACTTTTTGTAATGAAGATTTTGAGAACCAAAAAAATATAATTTATATCTGAAAAAGTACAATTTACAAATAATTATAGCTAAAATTGTTTAGAAAACTTTTGCAGATAGCAATAAAATCGGTTATAACAACATTTTTTATTAATTTTCCTTATCTTTGTAAATTCTGTTCAACTGAATGCTGCTTATTGTTCGTGCTACAATATACTTAAAACTCTACTCTACACATAGACGAAACATTTATACTTATTACAGCTCGTCCGAGAATGTGAGTTTATTCTAACAAATTGAGTGCATTTTAAAGTAGTCAACATAATTATGATTACACTAATGCTGCGATTGAATTATTTTGTTTGGTTCAACAGCGCAAATCCTTTGTACGTCCAGTTCATTACCTGTTTTGATAAAATAAGGGAATTAATAATGAATATAAAAAATAATCCAGCAGTTGCAGCAGAGAAAAAAGAAACGGTTCCATAATTATTATTTAGTTTTAAAGGAAATTAAGGCAACAGTAGCATTAAAGTTAATAATATAATAAATAAATAAATAAATACATACACACATACATACATAATCACTCACGCCCGTCACCTAAAGGGGTAGGCAGAGAGAGCGGACTTCCATTTGGCACGATTTTGGCACACCTCTCTCGCCTCCTTCACATCCATATACTTACCAACGCATACCTGCTCATCGGTTAAGGGTACTATTAATTTTCCTATTTTCAATATATCACCTATTTGGTCGATAAACCTTTGCTTAGGGCATCTTTTCCCTACTCTGCCGTTCACTTCTGCAGTATAAATTTGCTTTGTTACTCTTTCCTTATTCATAATAAAATAATATAATAAAGCAAAGTAATAATATTAAACATATAGACTACAAAATATTATGGTCGTGGCTTTGAATCCGCTGATCGACATATTTCATTAATCACTTCTAACACAAGCATGTTAAGCTTGTCTGGTGTAATTAACAAGAATATTAGCAGCGTAAAGTAGCACTGCTAGTTTTTCTTTTAGGAATAAACCAAAAACGGGAAACAATATCAAAGGCAAGGTCTGCTAACTGAGATTACTACTTCGGTTGCCAAGCTTAATTAATTTTGCAGATTCTTTCTACTATAGAAAAGGCATATGACAAAGATTAAACTACGAAAAAAAATGATTATGGTCCTTAAAAAGTAGTTAAATTTACCTCACGAAGAAAAGGTTTTTATCAATTTCATATAATATAAAGAATTTAAATGAAATAAAATTAGGTGTGAAAAGTAAAACTTTAACCTGTGTAAATGTTTCTAAAGAAACAGGTGCTAATACGACTGCATAAAGCACCAAAGGTTGTTGAGTTCTTGCTATAAATATCAAAACGTTTTTCCTATGCTTTCGTGACAGATCTACCCACGGACATCCGTAAATGGCATGAGAAATTTCAAAATTCTGAAAAGAAATTTTCGTGTTAAAATAAATTCGTTAACATTTAAAAACACAAAAAGTCAAATTGATTAATAATATACCTTAGTTGTAATACCGTTACCAAAATAACAGTCTGCATACAAAACGGATACAAATATGACCATAAATGCAAAAACCCAGAACAAATCAGTAATGTTATTTAATGGATGCTCAATCTGTCAACAAAACAAAAAGATTAAAAAGGTATTCACAACAGGTTACCTAATTTATTTACAAAATTATCTACTCATAAAGCACTCAAAAACGCGTACAAAGCCATTGTCTGAACAGAACAGTTAAAAATAATTGCCAATCGGCAGCATTTTAGGTTTGATTAATATGGATGGTCGTTTTTTCATGAATAAAAATAAAATACGTGAATTATTTCATTTAATTATCTCGTACATCATAACGAAAACCTAATAAAAAATCCTTAATGACTAGTATTCAAAAACTGGCACCACTTAAAATAATAAAGAATAATCCTAAGATATTTTCTGATTTGAACTTGATTGCTTAACTGGTAAAATTCAATTCTATTTTGCGTGTCTTCACTTTGTGCGCAGACTTATTTTTTAATTATTTTTATTTAATTCTGTTAAATACACCGTGACATTTATGTAGAATTAAAAAAAACATCAAATGATTTTTAAATGCTTATTTCACCGGCACGCCGTCAAGCTTTTTAATCCGCAAACGAGGTTATGGCAGCTGAATAATACATATATATCCATTCAAATATGCCAACTTTAAATTACATAGACTATAATGGCTGAGCAGTGTCAATAATTAAGATATGCAGTAGCATATTCTTGAAAAGACTTATACCTAAAAGCAGATTATGGACGTAGTTACTGACAGAGTGTTACCCTCCAAATTCTGAGAGGATGTTATAAAAGGTTACGCGAGTAAAAACTTTTGTCCACTGTTTCATTTTGTGAATGTTTTCACAAGTTGTGAATATCTTGAACCACGAATATGTATATACTGCGTGTCTTAGTTGTTCAAGATATTTTTATTCATATTAACGTCTAGTTACCGCGAAACGCTGTAACTACGTTTCTAAGTATGAGCTTTTTAATTTGACGGGTTTCTTTGCGTGACAGCTTCGTCTTACATTTGTACTGGCTATCTTTGTGTGCGTGCCGTAAGGATATGGTTTTAGGTAAGAGTTGTGATTATATTCTCTTTGGATTTAGACATAGACATAAAATATTTAGACGTCCATAGTGTGCAAAGGAGAAGAAAATTCCTTATGGCAAAAATGAAAGATAGAAAAGGATAGCAAATCTCATGACTCTGTAACCGATTTTGAATGACAGGTCGGCACAAGTCGGCTGGCAAGCTACTAGATATTATTTGTAATTTTTTAGAGTATAATAGTGGCTAATCTTTGTAAGTAATAGAGTTACATATTCTGTGAGTGACTGTCGTGTCAATAATAGAAATAATCCTGATAGTTGCATATTCCACAGGTAAATTTTCAAGACGTCGTTACCGCTATGACGCGTCTATTTATGGTTAAAATTTTTATGGTAATAATTTTGTTTATACAATTTTAAATGAATTTTCATAGAACCAGCATGGTGGTGATCACCTTATTCCCAGGGGTTATTTTCATTCATGTATTCCTTGATATTATAATAACGCTTTTTGTACAGTTTTTCTTTAATAAAACTTTTAAACTTGTTTATTGACAAACTTTGAATATGTTCTGGGATTTTGTTGTAAAAGCGTAAACATTGCCCCATAAATGAATTACTAAATCTGTGGAGTCTAGTAAGTAGCATTTCAAGCTTATGTTTGTTCCTAGTGTTTAAGGTATGAACATCCTTATTCTTATTAAAGCTATTTATGTTTTTATGTACATACGTTACATTTTCATAAATATTTTGCGATGCCAAAGTTAATATGTTTATTTCTTTAAATTTTTCTCTGAGGGACTCTTTACAATTTAGATTATAAATCGCTCGTACGGCTCTCTTTTGCAAAACAAATATAGCTTCAATATCAGTCGCATTACCCCATAGCAAAATTCCATAAGACATTACACTATGAAAGTAACTAAAATACACTAACCTAGCTGTCTCAACATCTGTGAGACTTCTAATCTTTCTTACAGCATATGCTGCAGAACTAAGTCTGCTTGCTAATTTAGATATATGGGGCTCCATTGAAGTTTCGCGTCAATAGTAATACCGAGAAAAACAGTGGTATCCACAAGACTCAACTCCTCCGCATTTAAGAGCACATTGGTTTTCGAATGTTTTACATTAGGTATTGTAAATTTAATAAATTTTGTCTTATTGCCGTTTAAGAGCAAATTGTTGGCGTTAAACCAATGTACAAATTTCGATAGAGCATTATTTACATCGTCATATTTAATTGACTGCCATTTCAGTTTGAAAATTAAAGAGGTATCGTCAGCAAATAATACTATGTCGTGATTTGTCCCCTACAAGATAAGGTAAGTCATTAATATAGATTAAGAACAGGAATGGGCCAAGAATCGAGCACTGAGGAACGCCCATTGATACTACCGATCCGAAGGAACATTTACCATTGATGACGACTTTTTGAGTTCTGTTACTTAAATATGAAGTAATAAGTCTAAGCGCCAAATTTTTTACACCGTAATGTTGTAGTTTCCTGATTAATGTATCATGATGAACACAATCGAAAGCCTTGGAAAGGTCACAGAAAATACCTAAGGCATCTTGTGAATTCTCCCAGGCATTAAAAATATATTTCATAAACTCAACACCGGCGTCAGACGTCGAGCGGCCCCTTGTAAAACCAAATTGATTTTTATGAAGTAACTTATTTGTATTAAAAAAAATTAACAATTGATCCAAAATTATTTTTTCAAAAATTTTAATGAGAGTTGGTGGTACAGAAATAGGTCTATAATTAGCGGGGTCCAATGTACTACCAGATTTAAATAAAGGTATTACTTTACTATACTTCATTAAATCAGGAAACACACCAGAATCGATACAAGTATTAAAAATAATAGCAAGATGAGGTGCAATTAAATCTATTATGGACGCAATCACTGTAACGGAAATTCCCCACAAATCTGCGGATTTCTTTACATCAATGGTTTTGAAGCTTCTTACAATATTATGCGGTAATACTTTTTCAAATCTAAATTCTTTTAAACAGGTATTAACATTTTGTTTAAGTAATGACTCAAAGAGAAGTGGATACACTTCCAATGTGTACACTAGACCACTTTAAGGTGACTTAGAAACTTGAAGTTTGGCCTCTGGGTAGATCGTTAGATGTACAAAAAAGGAAAACATGTGAAACCTACAAAATATCGAACTTCGATGTAAACATTTAATGTAACACTATGAAAGGATAAAATAACTAATGACATACTACGATAAACTTAAATATGAGAAAATGGGGCCAAGTATGGTTCAGTTGTCGGTCTCGCCGATAAAAAGTATAATATCTGGGCGTGTGCAAAGTTATAAATAAAGCCAATATTTACAATACCTAGATACAAGTTTGAAGAACTTTATGCATTGGTGTAGCTGTTATTTAAAGAATTTACAGTCACATTTTTTGTACGAAAGTAGAATGCCAGATCGTGCCCCACCTTGTACAAATAAGGTAAAAATATGAAAAATAATCTTATGAATTTTCAAGTTTTTTGTGATAACTCGTTATTTTGTACAATTTGCGGTAAAATATTATTAAAAAAAGAAAAGGAATTCAACGATTAGTATTTACATTTTCAGTCTTTTCTAATAACATCTGCGTTTCTTTGTACGAATAAGTACATACATACGCATAAAGTATCAAACCATACATATTTCTATTAAAATATATTATAAGTCTTTTTTATTTATTTACTTTATTGGAGACAAAACAGAAACAAAAGATATGAAAGAAAAACATACAAGTAAAATAAGACAATGGTAATTACAATTGTTTCCTACAAACTGTCTCACTAAGAACATACATAATATTTATATTATGAAGCAGGCCGTAATTGGTATCGTCTGCACAACAAGCAGGGTAACAAGTGTGTACTTAAATAAAAAGAAAACAATCATCTGAAAACAACCATCTAACATATACAATACTAAATAGTAAATATCCTTATATATCTAATTCGTAATTGTTACTAAAGTACTTTTTAATTTAGTTTTAAAAGCTAAACGGGAGATAGAGAACATATCGATGTCGTTAAGCATTTTATTATGGAGGACACACATTCTGTGTACTGGTGCTCTTTTATCAATATTAGTCCTGGTTTTTGGTATATGAAATAAATTTTTTGATCGTGTGTTTTTGGGTGGTATTCGAAACCTTACCTCGAATAATAACTGTGAACACTTAATCTCACCAACATAGATATTCCTAAAAGTAGTGGCGTCAATTAAAGTGCATCGGTCTTTTAATGATAGCATTTGATATTTTGTTAAGAGATTTTCATAGGAAACGCGAGGTGTATGCATTCAATAGTTAACAATACGTAAGAATTTCTTTTGTACCTTTTCTATTTTATCTTCATAAACTGAGTAGAATGGATTCCAAACGGGGGACACATATTCTAGATGAGATCTAACCAATAACTGATAAAGGCAGGTAACAGTATCTTTGTGTTTAAATGATTTTGTTATACGTGTAACAAAGCCTAGCATTCGGTAGGATTTATTCAATATTTCTTTGATGTGCCTATCTAGTGTGAGTTTGGTATCTAAATATACTCCAAGATCACGTATACTAAATTCTGATACAATTTTATGACCATCTAAGTAAAAGTCCGCGTGTACTACATTTTTGTTCCTAGTATATGTTATGTGTTTGCATTTATTATAAGCCAAGAATAATTTATTAATTTTACAATAGTTTTCAAGTCTGTTTAAATCGTTTTGTATTAATTTTATGTCGTCAGGTTTAGTAATGGCAGAGTACAATTTTATGTCATCAGCGTATAATAAGAATTTACAGTGGTCAAAGCAAGTTAAAATGTTTATTTTAACATGCTTTGACCACTTTTTATTATTAAATTCATTAATAAATAGGATAAAGAGGAGTGGCCACAGTATTGATCCCTGTAGTACGCCAGATGTTACTACAACGGGTAAGGATATGTAGCCATTAAGCACTACCGACTGTATGCGGTTTTGTAAGTAAGAGGCAAACCAACGTAGAAGAT